GGAGCTGGGTCCATCCTGTTCCGTTTGGCCATGTGGGGAACGGTGCTGATGGTCAGGGTGGACGCAGGGGTGCAGAACGAGTCCCTGGACAAGGACAGCGTTGTTTAAACCAATATTATTTACATGGAAAAGTTACTGCGGTAGTTTCTTGGTTGAAAATAAATCCCCTTCTTCCTGGATGAAGTTGCCCTGGGAGCATTTAAAGGACGCAGCAAGGTGCCCTTCTGCAGCCAGGCTCTCACGAGGCGCGTGACCTGCTGTGTGCTTGGCGAGGAGCTGACGCTTTGCCACCTCGACGCACTGTGTCCTCCACCAGCGTGAACTGCTTTTCCTCCCGTGTCGCCCAGCTGTGCTGCTCTTGGCGGGAGCATGTGGGGATGCGATGCCTGGGCAGAGGGTTGGCCCTGGGGTGGGCTCTGCAGCACAGCTGGCATTTCACTCCCGGTGCCATCATGGCAGCAGCACAAAACACCTTTTTGCTGGTGTCCCTGCTGTCAGCATGCTGGAGGAGTGCTCAGTGTGAACATGGCTTTGCTTGTTAAACTTTCCCCGTGGGGTCTGGGCCACCGGAAGAGTTAACTCACCCCCTGGTCCTTAGGGGTGACACCAATTTGTGACTGGGTTATTCCAGCATGTGCCAGAGTCCTGCTGGTCTCCTGGGTGGGTTGAGTTCCCCACTGGGCTACTGACCACCTCGGTGTCCACAGGAAGGATGAGCCAGGCCTCATACAAACCTCGTTCATCCTGCCGTTGCTCTGGGCTCGGCCTCTCGGCGTGCCAACCTCTGTGCTTTGCTTGCAGATGGTTTTGGGAGGGGGACAGCTGTTCCAGTCCCAGCAGGACCTGCTGCACCGCACCTCTCCCCTGCTGCTCTCCTACTACCTGATCCGGTGGGCAAGCCAGTGCCTGGCCTCGGACGTCCCTGTCGACACACTGTGAGTCTCTGCCATGCCCGTTCTGTCTCTGAGTGTAGGTTCCTGTTTAAATCCACACGAAATGCCCTTCCTGGTATGAAAAGCTGGTGGTTGCTGTGGGAGTATCACTCTAGGAGTCAGGTTGTGCTGGGGAGGGGTTTTTTTTTCCCTTCCATGTTTTGAGCTGACTCTTTGCCTTGTGCTAATTCTGCTGTGTGAGGTCTCGCTGTTCTGTGCGCTGTTGCCTTTTTCAGCAGTAGGAGTCATTCGAGTCGAACAATGAGCGCGATTAAAGCAGGAGGCGTTTTGTTTGTCTCTTCACTGACGGCTTTTTCTTCTCTAGGGAATCTAATCTGCAGCATCTCTCTGTGCTGGAGTTAGCAGACACCACTGCTTTAACACCCCACAAACTAGGTAAGGTGTCCACGGTTCATCAGCTCTTGGTTTTTTTTGTTATTTATACCTCTTGCCCTCTGTGTCTCTGCCACGCGAGGGAAATGCCTTGTGGAGCGCGTGGTTGAATGACCCCACTTTACACAGAGATGTTTGTCGTGCTGTCCACCAAAAAACAGCAGCAAAACCCAAATATCTTGTAGCATTTGGCTTGAACCAAAGGCGTGGATCTTATTCTCAGCCTGAGGAGAATGGGAAGGCCTTGCTTGGCCAAACATTGTCTGTTCTGGCTCCGGCAGCGTCAGCAAAGCTCACCTCTCACTTCTGGATGTTAGAGTGGCCATAGGGGGTCAGACCAGGTCTGTCCTGCTCGCTGGCCTTTATCCCACCATGAGCAGCCGCTCAAGGAAGCGAGCGAATGTAAAAATACTTCCCCAAAACATGTCTGCGCTTCCAACACTTTGCAATTCAGACGTGAGTGTTGCTCACAGCCAGTACCTCAAGGGGGAAATGGGAGCTGGTAACTCGTTCGCATGTTGAAAGTCGTGCTGCAAAGACGTACGCTTCGGGTTGCTGTCTTGGGGGAGAAACCCTAATGAGGGAGAATATAAGGCAGCTTAATTAGGAGGATGCATGCCTTGAAGTGGTTACAGAGGGAGGTGTTGAGCAGGGTAGGGGAGAAAATGCACAGGTAAGAGCCTGCTGGAACTCGTCTGCGTGGCACTTCAAGGCTGAGACTTCTGAGGGAGCTGAGAAAATCAGTGACAAAGGGGCACCGGTGCCACGTGTGGAGGGCTGGGAGCTGGGGAAGGATTTCCTCCGCTCGCTGATAAGCCTGGGGCATCTGCGCTCGTTGGAGTCCGAACTCTCCCTGAATGAGAGGCTCGGTTCAGGAGGCAGTTGCCTCGATGTAAATGTCAGTGCGTGAAAGTGAAATTGAAAACATCCTTTGTGTGCGCCAGCGTCGTGGGTTATTTCTTGGCCGGCTCATGAGGAAAGTCCTGTTTGGCCACCGCGCTTCAGGAAAAATATGTGAAACGTGGGGAAGAGAGAAAGGAGGCGGCAGCCTGGGGAGAGGCGTTGAGAACAGTTAGCTCCTGGGAGACGGGGCTGCTTCGGGCGCTGGAATGAGGAGGGAGGCATTCGACCAGAGCCAGGCAGCCAGGTCAGCACTGCCTCAGCCCTGCCCCACAAAACCTCGCTCGTGCTGGAAAGCTGCAGCTGGGCTGCAACAGCGCAACTGGAGAGGGAGCACAGCCCCTTTCTTTCTTGTTATAATTGAGTTGTGGTTAATAAACGTTGTGGTGTGTGGCTCTTTGATCTCCTGCTGCTCCCTCTGACTTAACCAGCCGGCAAGAGAAATCCAAAATGAACACGTTTGAGTGCTGAACGTGCTTATTGTTTTGCTCTGACTTTGTCTGTGGTGTTTGGGCTGATGGGCACAGCACGGTGTAGAAAGCCTGAGATGTCTGCTGCGGGCCCACTTCTCACTGTTCCTTTAACTTGTATTTTTAGTAGCTGGCCCTCAAACAATTGTGGAGCTGTTCTTTCAAGACGTGGCCAGAAGGCACATCATATCTCGACTCTTCTCGCAGTCAAACACCTCTTTGGCTGAAACGAGTTTGAACTGGCCCCATCTCATCACTGCCATAGTGACGGACTTTCTGCCCCTCCTGTATCCTTGCTGTAAACCCGCTACGAGGTGCTCGCTCTTGCCGGGCTGTAACCGGGGGGGTTCCTGTACGACATGGCAGTGCTGGAGTCCCTGCACGAGTTGTGCGAGATTTCACGGAGGCTGCATATTCCGTCCCGGTCCTGAGGCTGTGAGCGTGGGTGGGTCTGTGAAAGGAGGGTTGGGGCTAGTAGAGGGTTAGGGGTGGTGGACTGCAGAGTGCTCGGGGCTCTCTCTGCCACAGAGCCTTGTGTGGTTCCAAAATCAATGTTTTCCGCACCCAAATTTTGGAGACAAGTCTCCTGAACAAGCGAGTGTTGTTAGTGTTAACGGGATTTGAGGGTATTTTAAGATTTCGCTGAATCCATCCCGTTTTGGTGCACAACAAGGGATTGGAGTTCTTGACTTTAAGCCCCTGAGCTCTAGCAACTTGACTTGGCGAAGTGCGACGCTGGGACATTTGGAAGGGCAACAAGGTTTGGGCAGTTGTGGATTAGATGTAGTAACGGTTTTGTTCTAATATGGATAAATCTTATTACAGAATAATGACTGGTATAAAGAGCAGCTTAATCTCCTCTCCTTTCCCCCCACAAACTGAGCATGAGAGCCACGCCAATTTTCAGACTACTTTTCCGAGCTCTCTGTACAGGATCCTCCTCTGTTCCTTAACCTCTGCTCAGCTGGCCGAGCAATCCTGGCTTCCTCTTCCCCGAGTGCCTGATGGGCAGCTGCCAGTACACCCAGCTGCAGGTGAGTGCTTCGCGCCGACTCTCACAGGAGCTGAAAAGGGAAGAGCAGGAGTGCATCTGCAGTCTGTCCTGCAGATGAAATGGGCTGAAAGGAATGATTATTTTTTGGAGAATTGTTAGAAACCTCTCTTGTAACTATCACAGTGTCAGCTTAGTGAACAAATTCTAAGGTAGCAGATATCTTCCATCTTCTTCCTGCGTTCCTCTCATTCCCTGCAGCGTCCCCCTCAGCCTCTGCTGACAGAAGGGCTTTTTGCTAAATATCTCACACCTTAAAAATGCTGCAGAGAGTTTGTGGGGAAATGATTCAAGATGGTAGTCTTATCCATTTCCTCTTTGATCTGTTTTCAAGAAAATCCAGGCAGAAGCACTCAGGATTACCGTTTGCCCTTTTTGTGGAGGAGGTCAGTCTCCCAGGGCTTGTCTGACAGCGTCACGCTCTGTGCAAGAAACATCTTTGCGGATGTTTTTTGTTTAAATATCTTTGTTTAAATATCACAGCAAGCCCGTAACCTGATCATTTGTTAGCTGATGATGTACCCATAGCCTTTTCGGTGGTACTGTTCAAACAGGTTGTCTGCAGCCCAGCAGCAGAAGTGCTGTTTCTGTTTCTTAAATGTTGGCCTTACTAATGAAAAACGATGTAAGAAACATCCATCGTCTTTCCATCCTCGCCTGCGCTCCCAGCATCCTGGCAGCAGAGCCAGGGTGTCTCTGTAGAGCGCTGTATTTCAGGCCGTTGATTCTTCACCGTCTCTTCCCATGCTCTTCAGGGGTTTGGTAGTTGTAGCTGCTCATGCTCTAGTTCTGAACAGCACGATTTCTTTTCTGCAGCGCCATGTGACGCGTTTCATTCCCCGCCTGATGGCAGTCCTCGAGGCATGCGGGGCTAAGCAGGCAGTTATTAGCGAGATGTTTTTTCCTCTGCTTAGCAGAACCTTTTATTCTCACAGCCCCTTACACCTGGGGGCTGAACGGCTTTCTTTTTGTGTTCATGCTGCTACTGAAAGAATGTCAAATCTGCAGAGCTTTTGAGCCAGGAAATGCCAGGATGGTTCGGGCAGCATCCTTCTGCCTCCTGGCATCTGTGCGCTCTCGTGGTGCGAGCGCGCTTTGAATTTCCTCGCATTGCTTTCGCCTCACTTGTGTCCCGCCTCGAGGAGATACAAGAGACTTTTATCTCTGCAGGAGCAGGCTCTGCCTCCTCCCTGCTACCTTCTGCTACGCTCACTGATCCCAGTCGGTCACGTAAACTTGGATTAAGTGCATTGACCTCAGGGAGCTAACACCAGCTTTGCTGCGAGCGTGAGCACGGTGACCCAAATCGAGGTGGAGATGCAGGAGGCACCCTGCGAGTCACGGCCGAGCACAGAGAAGGTCTAGTGACCAAAGCGGTGGCCTGGGACGAGGGCCAAACCTCACCTTGTAATTTATTGTGTACGGCAAGCTGTCGAGCAAGCCTGGGGTGGGATTTGTCTGTTGTAGCTGTCTAATCTGAGCGGTGAATCCAGGCTCAGAGGGTGCGTTGCCACGTGGCTGTTAGCGGACCCGTGGCCGGGGTAGGCGAGGCACACGTGCTGGTGGTTTACGCACATGTGAAGGTTCAGGTCGGCCAGTGAAACCTTGGCTTCACCTCCCGGTCCTGTCTTCTCCTCCTCCTTTCCCGCCGACTCCCAGGGCCCTGCTAGCGGGAAATCTCCACTTCTCCACTCATGGAAAGCATACGCCACTGTCCTAGGCACAGGGGATGCCAGCTTTTGAATTTTCATTGTGCCTCCTTGCTGCTTCCTGAGAGGTGATGACACTTTGCAGCCCTTATATTACCCTGGTGGAGCGGGCACGGGGCCAGGCTGAGTCGTATCGCTCTGGCCAGTGGCTGTGCTGGGGCTGTATTTACGGAGTGTCCTCGGTGCCGTCAGAACTCTTCCCTGTGCCTGCCGGTTTGTTGCTGTAATCTGTGGTCTGCCCTGGCCGCTCTCCCTTTCCTGCTGCACGGATACTGCTCCTCAAACACCGGCTTTCCCTCTTCTCCTGCTGCCCTCGCGCACACACGCTCCCGTTCAGGCTCTGTGCACGCCAGGATAACGTTTCCTCTGCAGTTCCCAACAGCTGGTGTGCAACGGTTGTAAAGAGCCTTGTGTCAGATTTTTGGGGATGTTGGGTGCTGTTTCAGAGGTGCTCTGTACAGACACTGGAGGTGTTCAGGTTGTTTCCCGGGGGCACGTCTCCGCATTTGTGCACTGAGGGGACTTTGGGGCTGGGGAAAACAGCCGTCGAGCTGGAAGAGAGGGATTTGTGGGAGCACAGCAGCTAAAGGGGCCGCCAAAATGGTGCTTTGGTGTTAGGAGACCTGACCCTTCCTCTGGTACTGGCTGCCTGCAGGTCACGAGCGAGTGCTGACCTGAATTGAAACTCCCATTCCTCCTCTCCTGTAGGAATACATCCGCCTGCTGCAGCCCTGGTGCCACGTGAACATGGGCTCCTGCTGCTTCATGATGGGCCGGTGCTACCTTGTCATGGGCGAGGGGCACAAGGTAAAACCCTCGTCTCCTTCCCTCAGGGGTCTGGGACCTTTATCCTGCGAGTCAGGAAAGTTCCATCTCGAGCTCTGCCTCCTTTGGGCAAAGAGTGGGATTGGAAGGGGATGGTGGGATCTGCTCTTGGGCAAGTTCTCGTTAGCTTGGGGCCAGCAAGTCTCGTACGCTGGAGCTGGAGCAGGCAGCGCTGTCCTCTCACCAGTACAGCAGGCTGGGCACACGCGAGCGGGTTTCTGCTCTGCTTCTAGGCTCTGGACTGTTTCTGCCAAGCTGCGTCAGAGGTGGGGAAGGAAGAGTTCCTGGACAGGCTGATCCAGCCCGAGGAGGGTGAGGTGGTCTCCACCCCGCGCCTGCAGTACTACAACAAGGTACGGCTGAGCCGCCCCAGCGGACAGTCCTCAGCCAGTGAATTGGCCCCGAGTCGTTCCACACAGACACCACTTGGAGAGAGGCTTCCTGCTCCGCCCCAGCGCTTGGGGAAGTGGCTTGAGACTCAGAAAACATTTTTTGGGAGAGGAAACCTCCATGTAGTCTGTGTTCTTTCTTTGGGGGGTGATGGCAGGGTGACTGCAGCGTGGGAGCTGGGTACTTTCCACCTCTTAGTGTGCCAGTAGCAGAGGAGTTTGTTACCCAGCAGGAAGAGGCAGGGTGAGACCCAGCTGCTGGAGGCAGGAGCCAGACATGTCCAGGCTGGATGGAAGATGCTGCTTCAGGGGAAGGTTCTTAAGCTTTGAGGCAAATTAAAATGAATGTCTTTCAACTGAGATAGCATCTTTCTTCTTGCTTAATACCATGGTTCAGACAGGCTGCAAGCTTGGACCTAGGCTCGTTGTGAGGGATTCCCTGGCTTGAAAATCCAGAGAACACGAGGATCGTTGAGTGCCCTCGGAGAGGGAACTTCTCTCTCTAATACAGCTGTGGGCGTCCTCCAGGACAGGATCGTTCACCTCTCTGTCGCAGGGGTTTACTATAACCACCAACACTAAAATGTTTCAGAAAACTCGCACGTGCAGAGATGAATCCTCCAAAAAAGCTGTAGCCTGGGCCTGTTGTGCTGAGATTTGGTTGAGGCCTCTGTGACTTACCAAAAATCTTTCCTTTCCCAGTCTGATCGCTTAGAAACATTGGCAAAATCCTTTGACTGCTCTTGTGGTTAGTAGGGGCAGGAATAGCTCTTAAAAAACAAACAAAAAACCCCTTCGCCAACCCGACCCGTTCTTCAGAGCCACTGCAGCCAGCGTGAGAGTCTTGTCTTCTCCAGGTTCTGCGCTTGCTGGACATGGTGGGGTTACCGGAGCTGGTCATCCAGCTGGCCACCCTGGCTATCATGGAGTCGGCGGATGACTGGAGAAGCCAGGTACGGCTCACTGCTTTTTCATCAACATATTTCTTCAGGGAGCTTACACGGGAATTTCTTTTTTGTTGTGTAACTCGAAACATGCTGGTTTGTGTCTTTGGTGTTTTCAGGCTACTTTGAGGACTTGCGTCTTCAAACATCACTTGGATTTGGGACACAACAGCGAAGCATATGTGGCCCTAACGCAAAACCCAGATCCAAGCAGGTAGGTGACAGTTTTGTGCCTTTATGCTCACTTCTCTCGGAGGTCCGTGTACCAGTTTTTCCGTCAGACTGACGCTTTATGATGCCTGCTGTGTTAGGGGTTCTGGTTTAGCTTGTGTTTAAAAAGGCACGCTGCATTTTTGTAAGAACAGCTGGGATTGGCCCATCTCAAAGGAGAAAAGTGGGCCGGGGGGGAGGCTGAACAAAAAAATGGCTCAAGGATGGCATGTGGCATCGTGTTGGGAAGTTTTAGGAGTCTAGTGGATTTAGTTTAAGAAAGAAAAGACCTGGAGCTGAATTTTCAGCTTCATCTGAGAAGTGAACTGGGTGGAGGAAGCTTCACCCTCGCAGAGGAGGGGGGGATGAGGCTGGAACAGATGTTCAGAGGGGAAGTAGGAATGCGTTAGAATTGAGGCTGAAGAAAATCCTACCAAAGAGAGCTGAGGGAGGGAGACTGCCTTCCTGAGAGACCTTTGCAGAGGATTTTGGCCGTCCAGGATCAGCCCAGGAGAAGCCTGAAGGGACCTCTTGGCTCTAAACTGGAAAGAAACCTACGGAGCTTGTCACAAAGCGGCACATTCGCAGCTGAAAGCCTGCACCCTGGAGCTGGGTTTGTCCCCGCTCCCCCAGAACGTTGTTCTCTCTCTTGGCAGGCAGCTGGACTGTCTACGCCAGCTAGTGGTGGTTCTCTGCGAGCGCTCCCAGCTCCAGGACCTGGTGGAATTCCCCTACGTGAACCTCCATAACGAGGTAATCGGCCTGGGCTGGGAGGAGAGGGGGCCCAGCCGCTCTCTTTAAAGGGATTGCCGACCCCTTGGAGCCTCTGTGTGCCGCAGGTCGTGGGGATCATCGAATCGCACGCTCGAGCCGTGGACCTGATGACCCACAATTACTACGAGCTGCTCTATGCCTTCCACATTTACCGCCACAACTACCGCAAGGGTGAGGCTCCGGTTGGGCACGTTGTGGTGTCACAGACCCCCTGGGACACCGCTTGCCATACCCCTGTCAGGGGCTGGCCTGTCCTGGCTCTTGGCTGATGTATTTCCCTTCTCTCCTCAGCTGGAACGGTGATGTTTGAGTATGGCATGCGCCTGGGCAGGGAGGTGCGGACGCTCCGAGGGCTCCAGAAACAGGGAAATTGTTTTCTCGCCGCTATTAACTGCTTACGGTTGATCCGCCCGGAGTACGCCTGGATAGTGCAGCCGGCTTCTGGAGCTGTGGTAGGAACCGCGGAGCTTCCTGTGGAGCCTCTGGCCTGAGCTACGGACTGTGGGGGAGCTTACAGCTGTGTGTTAGGGAAGGAGCTTCCAAAATCCTTTCTGATGTTATCAGTAGAGGCATTGGCCTTCTCAATTTGCTACTCTCGTCTTCTTGGCCATCTTCTGCAGTGCTGACTTGCCCTGCTCAGCAGAGACATCAGTCCTACCCGTCACCCTTCTGTTGTTGCCCCTTTTTGGAGCAGGATGGAGGCAGGGCAGCTTTTGGGAGGGGGCTGGTGTATGCTTGTGGGAATATATCAGCTTTTGTTGAAGACAGAGCAAATCTTTTTGGGGAGGCTGAACAGCCAGAATACCAGTCAGAAAGAGAATTAACTGTAACGTGGTTTGTGTTTCCAATCTGTTTGCGGGGAGGTGGTGGCCGCAGCCTGATCGGCTAACGCTGTGCTGTGTTTCTGATAGCCAGAGATAAGTGTAACCTGAACTGCCGGGTCGTTGTACGGCTTTTCTGATTCAAATCAAGGCCTGAAATGCAGAGCTGCTCTTGAGGCTGTATCGTTTGGAAACCAGGTGGACGTAAACCCTCTTTCTGCTTTCTCCTGCAAGTACGAACGCCCCGGAGCATCGCCGAAGAGAAGCCACGATGGGGAGTGCACGGCTGTCCCGGGTAAGTGCCCGGTCCTGGCGCTTCCTCTGACTCCTTCCCTGGCCTCAGAGCTCTGCTGCTCCCGCCTGAGCTGGGAGGTGGCTCAGGGCAGCGCTCACCTCTGCCAGATCAAGAATTTGGGGGATTTTAAGCCAGTTAGCTCTCCTGGTGTTAGTGTCTCCGGTTGCAATGTGCTGCCACATAACAGCTATTCCCCAAGGAGCTTCTGTCCACACTCCTCTGCACTTTGGTGTCTTGTCAGCACTTTTGCTCTCAGTGGAAATAACTTGTAATTAAAAAAAAGCCTTTTGAGGCAATTTCTAGTTGTTCAAGACATGTTGTTTGTGCTCTTGGAAACCCTGCTGACGTTGTGAGTCTCTGCTGGTGAGGTCTCTGCTCTGCCTGTGCCCACCAAGCACGGGGTGGTGGCGTCGGGTTAGACTCGGCATCCTCAGCATTACGATAGAAAAATGTAAGGTCAGGTATTTTTAAAACAATTATTTCTGAACGAGCTCTTTGGTAGCATATGCCCAGGCATCAGCGGTTGTTTCCAAACATGAGATAAGATCTCTCAGAGGGGAGGAACGGGAGGTTTGGGTCAAGGAGACGGGCACAGTTCGAGGTAGTAAGGAAGAGGCAGGAAAACCGACCCCTCCTGCGGTGCTTTCTGTGGTACGGCTCCTCTGAGGGTGGCAGAGGGGTGCAGATGTTTTGCCTGATGCCTGAGGAGCCCTTTTTAAAAGCCCCTTGTGTCCGTCTGTTACAGCCACTCGCCAAATCGAGATCCTGGAGCTGGAGGATTTGGAGAGGGAGTGTGTGCTGGCCCAGATCCGGCTGACGCTGGTGCAGCATGACCTGCCGGCAGCGGCTGTGGCAGGTAAGAGGGACGCGGCGCAGCCACCTCTCGCTTCCCCTGAGCTTTGTGCTGGTTACAGCGCGTTCAGTCGTAGCCCAGGTGAGGAAACGGCAATTTTCTTCTGACCCAGACGCAAACCCAAGCCCAGGAGCTGGAAGGGACGGTTCAGTTCGCTTCCCTAGCGTGAAATCTTGCCACCAAGCTCATCAGCGTTGGAGAGGCAGATGAGGAGAAGCGATTTTAAGTTTCCCACCATTGTTTGCCTTGCCAGGCTCTAGTAGCACTCCACAGCATGGGGCCGGGGCTGAGCTCACGAGCTGGGACAGAGGCAGCTTTTTGTCTGGCCAGAAATCGCCCCCAGATGAAGCAGAATTAGAAAGCCTGAGGAAAAAAAACACTTGCTGTGAGACTTAAATTATTGTCCTGGACAATCTTGCTTTGTGACACAGTGTTAGTTTGTCAAAGTTGTTCCTTTTGGGGAGGAAAAAGCTGCAACTCTCCAACCCTGACTCTGATACAAGTTGCACAACATGTATCAGGAGGAGATGACTTGAGGGGAGGGATTGCAGGGAAAGGATCGAACAGCTGGTTTGAGGGCAAACTGGAGAAGCAGGGAGCCGGGTGCCACTGTTTCATCTCTCCTCCTGCCTGTGCTGGCAAAGCCGAGCTGATGCCTTGTTCACGTGGACACAGCCCAGCTGCACCAGGGACAGGGCTGTCCCCTCCGCGATCGCCTCAACAGCAGCAGGATTTGGCTGCGGGCTGTACGCTGCTGCCTGTGTCCCTCTGCAGCTGGCACCTGATCGGGGACAGCCCCGTGGGTCGCTGCTGCTTTGTGTGGTCCCTCTGGGGATGGCTCCTGGGCTCACGGGATTCTCCCGAGGCCACGAAAGCCTCAGGCCGTGCGATGGGAAGTGCTGCTGCGGGGTGGCTTATGTTGGGGCTGTAACTGCTGCTGAATTGTGCGGAGTTAGGCCCCAGTAAGCACTGGGGTGTGACTGGGAGAGGTGCTTACCTGGTCCTCCTTCCCTGCAGGGAACTCTACACCCGAGGAAACGGTTGCTCTCCTGGTGCGGGCCGGCCTCTTCGACACTGCCATCACTCTGTGCCAAACCTTCAAGCTGCCCTTGACGCCCGTGTTTGAGGGACTCACTTTCAAGTACGTAACGAGCGTCTCCTCCCCACCTGGGGTGACGCACGGCTGGAGGGACATGTGCTGCGTGGGGCTCGGCAGGGTGCGGAGTCAGAAGCCAGCGCTGTCCTGACCTGTCTGCTCGCCGGGGCCGCTCACTCTGTGCCACAGCAGCTGCTGGCTGCGGGGGGTTGAGGTGGAACTGGCTCTTCACACCTGAAAAGGAAAAATAAGGGAACCTGAGCAGGTAGTGGAGGGGGAGATTTCTCCCTGGTCTCAGGGGAGAGAGCTGGGATCTGACAGTCAGAGGTGATCCCGACACAGGCACCGCCATCATCTGGAGGCATGCAGTGACAGGACAAGGGGGAGTGGATTTAAACTGGAAGAGGGCAGATCAGATGAGATCTTGGGAAGAAATGTTTTCCTGTGCCGAGGGTGAGGCAGTGGCCCAGGTTGCCCAGAGCAGCTGTGGATGCCCCATCCCTGGAGGGGTTCAAGGCCAGGCTGGATGAGGCTTTGGGCAACCTGGGCTGGTGGGAGGTGTCCCTGCCCATGGCAGGGGGTGGCACTGGATGGGCTTTAAGGTCCCTCCCAACCCAAACCCTTCTGGGATTCTGTGACCTTCCTGGTGAGCTGGCTGACGGCACGCTCCTGCTGCTGCCCTCTGAGCTGCTCACGGATTTGAGCTGTTGAGCGGCTCTCAAACAGCGGTTGACAGAGCACTTGCTCCTCAGTCTGGTCTCTGTGCTGGCCGTTGGCTCTCATGCCTCACCTCCGACCCCAGGATTCCTCCCCTTTGCCTCTCTGTTTTTCGGGAGCTCTGCTGCAACCTGCTCCTGCAGCTGGACTCACGGAGGGCATCTCTTACCCAAGCTTGGGTCCTAAAGCCTGCTGACACCAGAGTCATTATTAATTCCTCTCAGGCACTAAGAGCAGCTTAGAAATCGCTCTAATAGCCGCCGCGTCCTGCCAGGCCGGCTAATTCAGAGCGGTTGCTCAGGAGCAGCCCTGCGCGGGGTGGGTTGATGCCGACAGGGTGAAGGGGCTCAGGAGGCACCCGCCTTTGTCCCGCTCTGTCTTGCAGGTGCATCAAGCTGCAGCTGGGCGGGGAGGTGGCGCAGGCAGAGGCCTGGGACTGGCTGGCAGCAAACCAGCTCTCCGCACTGGTCACCACCAAAGAGTCCAGGTGGGTCCTGGGCTGGGGGGGAGAAGAGCGGAGCCGCTCTGTGTGAGAGTGAGAGTCCTGGAGGGAAAACTCTTGCGGGAATTGGGGATCAGAGGTTCCTAAAACCCCCTTAAAGCAGACCTGTGGGACTGGGACAGCGGGAGAGCCATGCTTCTGTGCTGTCACCACGCTGTCCCCAGCCTGTGTTGGACCCGGGCAGCGGGACAGGTCCCCTGGAGCATGTGGTGCCCTTGCAGACGGTGGCAGGGGCTGCTGGCACGGGTTCTGCCATGCAGCTCCACGGATGAAGCCTGGCGGCTGCTGTCGTCCTATTTGGAGCGTTACCCATCCCAGAACAGCCTGTACCATCGCTGCGTCATCAACAAGCTCTTGGCGCACGGGATCCCTCTGCCCAACTGGCTCATTAACAGCTACAAGGTGAGAACGGCGAGGGTCAGGGTCACCGCTCAGCACATGCTGCTTGCCGGCCAAAAATTCCAGCTGTCCCCGAGCTGCGCTGTCCCCTTCTCTCCTTGTTGCAAGCTTTGCCCCACCTTCCCGTTCCCAGCTCCGGGAATTCGTGCCGGCTGCTTTGTGGCTGTTACCGAGGCTCGGGACAGGTTACTGTGGGAATTGTGGCGAGCTTTCCCTGGCTGCCACCAGCCCTCTCTGCTTGCAGAAGGTGGACGCTGCCGAGCTGCTGCGTCTCTATCTGAACTACGATCTACTGGAGGAGGCTGTGGAGCTGGTCCTGGAGTATGTAGACGCCGTGCTGGGCAAAGGGCACCAGTATTTCGGGATTGAGGTGAGCGGGGACCCCTCCTTGGGGCAGAGGGCACCAGGGACCCCTCCTTGGGGCTGATCCCGCTTGGAGGTGGGGTGATGGTGCTTCCAGGAGAAACAGGTGTGGATAACCCACCCTGGAGACGAGGGGACCCTTTCATGGGGCTCGTAGGACAAACAGATGT